AGGTCAGCCAGATGCGGCCAGTCTGCCCTTCCCTGGCCACTTGCAAGGATTCCATGCGGGGCAGAGTAAGGCCAGGAAGCCGAGGAGCACATGGCAAGGAACTGCAGCGGAGTACCCAAACAGGCTGGGCTTCCCAGGCCTGGGCAGGCGGCAAGAACAGTTTGTAGCCTCCTCAGAGGAGGTGAAGACAACTGGGATCATTGAACCCAGGGTACACCATCAGGATGTTCTGCAAGTTCAGGGAAGGGAGAGCTCACTTGGGGGCACTCTCAGAGAAGGCAGCTTGGAGGAGATGGTCCTTGGGATATCAAAGGATGGAAAGGACTCCTAAGGGCAGTGACTCAAGCAAACACAGAGACAGCTCTCATTCTGCCAGGCTCTGCTGCATGGCCTCTGGCATTGGCTGGGCAGTTTCATCGTCTGTGAAGTCTTGTCTGGCGACAGGACTGTGCTGAGGATAGAGTGGGGCAGTGAGGGATGCGGGATGGTTTGGGTTGGCTGAGAGGCTTGTTCTGCAAACTCAAGGGCCATGTGTGTGCACATGCGTGCTGTTTACACTTAAGTGTGAGGAGCTGAGCCTAGAATCATGGGCTCACAGATGGCATTGGCATAATAACTCCTGCCCCACCACCCCTCTTAGGGGAGTTCAGCCTCTTCCCTTAGTGATCTGTAGGGAGACTTGTGCTCCAGCCAATGTCTACCTCTTACTCTGGAGCTGCCTGAAGCCTCCCCTAGTGGGTGTGTGCCCTGGGCAGCTGGCCTTGGCCTCCCAGGCCTGGGTCTGGCTCTTCTCCTGTGTCTGGATCCTGCCCCCCACCCTCAGCTTGGTGAGGTCAGAGAACAGGTATTCCAGGAATGCAGGAGGAGGCGGGGCAGCCAGCCTGGTTTGGATAACCATGGGGTAAATATTTGCCTTGCTCCTGGAGCCAGCACTGGCTGGGGGCAGGGGATAGGGGGTTGGGGGGGGTCTCCAAGATGGGGAAAACTCTGTAACCCCAGAGTCTCTTGGCTGCCGGACCAGCCCCTCTTTGGCTCATCTGTAAAATGGGAACAGAGCAGCTCCAGCACTTAAGCGACTCAGTGGTGGGAGCTGGCTCAGGTTGACTCAGCTAAAGAGTAAGACCAGGTGTGGGTGGGCACCTACATGACAACAGTTCTGATCTCTACTTAAGACACTCATGACCTTGAGCAATTGCCCCCTATCTCAGGCTTTAATTGTCATCACAAAGGGAACTCTTACTCCTTGGTACCTGTATCTTCACACCCCCTATCTCATTAAGTCATAACAGCCTCTAGGGACACAGAGGCACATGTGAGTTCAGCAGCAGGTGTAAGGATCTGAGACCTGGTGCTCTGGTGGGCCCCTGCCTACCACTCCACTCTGGGGCATCTGGCCCCCTCTCCAGTGGTTTATGGGGAGGTCTGTGTGCTTGAGCTAACCCTAGAGCAGTGGTTTTCAACCTGTGGGTCACGACCCCTTTGGGGGCCTCCTGCATATCAGATATTAACATTATGATTCGTAACAGTAGCAAAATTAGTTATGAAGTAGCAAGGAAAATAATTTTATGGTTGGGGGTCACCACAACATGAGGAACTATATTAAAGGATCGTGGCATTAGGAAGGTTGAGAACCACTGCTCTAGAGGCTGTCCTGGTGGGGGAGCAGTGGAGAATAATCAGTCCTTGTATCAAAGGTGGATGAGGGCTCAGAGAGGCTGAGTGACTTGTTCAAGGTCACCAGCAATAAATGGCAAAGCAGGGATTCAAACCCAGCTCTACCAACCTTTGCCCTCTGACCTCACCACTGAGTCCAAGGCCAGGACTTCCATCCAGAATGTGGACTCTCAACCTTTGGCAGCTGTAGAGAACAGCTGGTCACTTAGCGTCAGGCCTCAAGCCACAGGCACAGAGCCCTCTCAACACCCCAAGTCCTGGACACCCTTTGTCTCAGGCACTTCTGCCCTCTAGGAATCCTGGATGAAGCCTACACCTCTCTGGACCACAGATCACTTTGGCCAGGTGTCTCTACCCAAGCCCGGACCCACATCCTTCTCAGCATTCTTAGAGGAGGCAGGGATGGGAAGGCAGGTGTGTTTGGGGGTTCTCCCTGCCCCTATGTGACCTCTGCCTTGTGGGTCTCCAGCTATAACACCTTCAGCAACTCCATTCTACCTTGAAGCCTCAGTGTTATATTCTGCAAAGTGTGCATTGATGCTGGAGTGAAGGGTGTTCCATTCTGCCATTTCTACACTGCCCTTCACAGCCTCAAAGTTGGAAGCTGCCCTGCATTCAGGGTCTCACACACCCACAGGAGTGAGAGTCCTGAGCTGAGGGTGCCCAGGAGAGCCCTGTGGCATGGAAGTATCTGTCCCAAGGGAAGATGTGGTGGGCACCCACTATCCACAGCCCACCACTGACCCTGAGGCTCAGATGACACCTCTTCCATGGTACTAAGGGCCTTTTAAGAAGAGAACAGCTCTCTCTAGGCCCTCATTGTTTGTCCTTGTGGTCCAGCTGGGTTGGGAGCAGTGGGGCGGGGCTGTACCTGGTCTCCCCACCTCCCCTCTCCCTCATCTCACCAGAAGGCCAAGCCCACACAAGCTGCCAGAGCATTAGTGACTGGACACCCAGCAGGGCCTCTGTGTCCACAGCCCTGCCGAGGCCCCTGGTTCTTGAGCCTCCCTTGGCTAGTGTGAGGGGGCCATGGAGGCAAGAGAGCCTGGGTGCCTGGCCCTGGCTCCCCCTGCAGATAGCCACTCAACCTAGTTGCCTTCTTCTGAGATCTTTACTAGTTGTGTGACCTCAGGAAGTTCTAGAGCGTCTCTGGGCCTTGGGTGGGGATTAGGGATCTGATTTCTACCTCACAGGATTTCACTGACTGTTAAAGGAAATATCTCAGGCATAATCCACAATATGGATTCAATAAAGGCAGGCCTCCTGCTCCCTGTCTTTTCCGCTGTAGGTTCATGGTCCCCATACTAGGACCAGTATTCAAATGCTAGCATCCACATGCACCCTTATTTATTGCTTTGTGACTTTGGACAGATCCCTTCTTCTCTCTGCCCCCAGACCCCTAGGGGCAGGCAGGGGTGGGTGGGCAGGGGTGTGTCTGTCACCATGAGCTGCAGAACCTCCAAGAGATGGGGGCAGGGTGGACATCATGTCTTGGGGCCTAGACAATCCTCTCTGAGTGAGCGACAGCTTTCCAGCTCTGGCTTCTGTCTCAGCTGCCAAAATAATTATTTTGTCTCTGTCAGCGGCTCTGCTGGCCCGCTTGCCTTTGGGAAAGGCCTGGTTATGGGTGTAGGAGGCTGATTCCAGTTCTGCCCCAACCACTGACTTGCTACCTGACCCTGGGATAAGAGCAGATGCTTCCCTCTCTGGGCCTTAGTTTTCTCCTCTGTGAAATGGAAAAGTTAGGGTCACCCAAAATCTGTTGGTATTCCTAAGATGAGCACAGTTTGGGGGCTGCCAGAGTCAAAGGGTCAGGATACGGAAGCTATATGCTTTCCCTGTGGCTGGGATGGGGACACTGGACCTGGCTTTGGGAGCTTGAAGATTAGTGACCCAGGGCTCCAGGGGCCCTGCTCTGGCCCCCGCAAGGCCATTCCTGCCTCAGCTGACATGCACAGAAAGCTACTGGTACTTTTGGCCCTTGGATACCCTTTACCCTTTACCTTTACAGTTCATATCTCTGTGGGAGGTGCCCCCACTCGTTATTCCTATATCCCCTCCCACAGTTGAGAAAACTGAAATAGAGAGAAGAAATGTGTCTTAAGCCACACACTTGCTAAGAGATTGCTATTACTGAACGCATTTCCTTTCCACTTCTCAAACACCAGGCTTTGGTGCGTCTTATTAAAGCCCTGGGTGCCCACTCCTCCCTGGAAGCCCCTGCCTGCTGCACTGTGAAAGGGACACTGCCTCTCCTGTTGTTGGCCATGGGCCTCCTAAGAGGCTCCTGGCCCTGCAGTCAGGTTTCCTGTTTTTTTACAGGAGGCCACTGCCGCAGGCACAGAGAGCTACCCTCCTAGCCGGCACTTCAGAGAAGGCTGCCAGCCAGGCCTCTGGTTCTGATCCTCCTGGATTCCCACAGAGGTCTGTGGGCAGTGGGGGACATGTTGGGGGTCCCCTGAGGAGATGGGCCTGTAAGGATGAGCGTGTGCCCCACGCCCAGGGTGGGGACGGGCCCTGCACTCTTCCTGCTGCTCTCCTGCCTGCTACTGTCCTTTCCACATCCTTCTCCCTCAGCAGCTGTGGGTTTTTTTCAAACTAGAACTAGGGTTGTGTCCCTCTGCTGCCCAGACCCTGCTGTGCCACATGTGCCACCTCCCCTTTCATTCACTGCACCTGCCACACCACCCACTCCGCAGTCCTCTGCTGGGCCAGGCTTTCCTCCCTACCTTGAGTCGTCACATATGCCATTCCCTCTGTCTGAATGTTGCTCCCTGTGTCTTCCCTGCCTCCCTCTGTTTCATCCTTCAACTCCATTTCTCCAAAGAGGCCACCTTAGACCTTGGGCTGCTGCTGTGTAGCTCCTGCATGCGTTCTTTCTGGCAAGCACCACTTTAACCACTGTCATAGCCCTGTGTGCCTGTTAAATGTTTGTTGAATGAATGAGTGAATGCCAAGTGCTTTTGTCACCAGAGGTGGGGGGGAGTGACATTGCGATCCCATCTTGACCTGAGGAAACAAACCCAGAGAGGCTAGGAGCACATTCACATCACATAGCTGGTGACTGGCAGACATAGCGGGGGGTGAGAGGCCTTTTACATCTGGGCACCCCATTGTGCCCCTTCAGACTCTCATCTGTTTATGGGATGGTGCAGTGGAGCTCATTGTAGACTCTCAATACAGGTGTCAGGTGGTCAGACTCTCATCTCTTTATGGGATGGTGCAGTGGGGCTCGTTGTAGACTCTCAATACAGGTGTCAGGTGGTGGTGGTGGCATGACCAGTGCTGGAGTGGACCCACTGACTGTCCCCTTCTCTTTGCAACAGGATGGAGCTAGAGTGAGGTGGAGGGGCCGCCAGCTGCTGACCAGCGTGTGAGACACTGGTGGCTCTCGGATCACTAAGGTGGGTGTGCAGTTCAGTTGGTGGGCGGTGGTTGGGTTGGATGTGTGGGGGATGGGTGGGAGTGTCCTATCTGGAGGCCAGGTGCCGGCCCTAGCACACTATGCCCTTGACTCAGGCTTTAGTCCTCATGGGTGGGTGTGGGTTCAGGTCACCTGTGCTGGGAATTCATAGTGCCCCAGATGGGCCCTCCCTATCCCTGGTCTTCCTCTAGAGTAGCTGCCAGGGTGTGGGGGTATGCCCAGAGAAAGGACAGGTCTGGCTCCCCAGCCTTGGCCCCACCGCCCTCCCCAGTCCCTCTGGACCCCATGGGGCATGGGCAGCCAAACCGGAGGAGGTCTGAGTGACAGAGGCACATTGGATGGAGTGGGTACACCGTTGCCCACCCCCACAAACATGCTGGACACATTCTGGGCTCTGGGTCAGACAACCCGAGTTTAGTCCTCACTTTGGCACTTGTCTACTATGACCATGTGCAGTTGCGCTGTGCCTCAGTTTATCCATCTGTCATGGGTAGGAAGGCAGCACCTGCCCTGCCATTTCAGTGAAGGGACTGCACTCCTGGCACACAGTAATCCCTCAGGATATGTCTTCTGTTTTCCCCAAGTGTGCCAACACCCTCCCTTCTCCCCACTTACCTCGGTTTCCATCATCCCCTTCCCCCTGAAGACCTACCCATGCCAGGATGGACATAAATGGGTCACCTAGCCTGAGAAAGAGGTTGGGCCTCTCAGGCAGCTCCTGAGAGCGGCTGAAGCCAGTAGGTCCTGAGGCGGAGCCTCCTGGGTGAGGCCTCTGACTTGCACACCAGTGTGCTCATCTCGGGTTGCATTTCAGGGTTGATCACACTTGGCCCTGGGCCCGAGGGCGACCCATCTAATCCCTGTTTACTACACAGCTCAGCCCAGAGATGAGAGGCCTTCACAAAAATGCTTACTTGGGCCAGGGGCCCTGTGGTGGTGGGACCAGCCCTGGAAGGGAGAAGGGGTCTTCACCCTGGCATCCCCTGCTGCCTTCGGCTTCTCTCTTGGAGCTCCAGCTCTCCTATGACCCGGGATAGGGCCCAGGCGGCCTTAGTCGGGGCTCCACCTCCCTTCCTGCTGCGGGGAATCCTGGCTTCTGCTCATCAGCTGCATGACCTAGGGCCGGTCCCTTCCCTTCTGTGAGAATCAGTTTTCTCATTTGAAAATGAGGATGATTATACCACCAACATTGCTGACAGGGCTGTTAAGAGGATGCTTAAAAGCTGCGAATATTTTTAAATGTTACAGCTTTGTGAGCGGCTGTGTGTGCCAGGCACTACGCTCCTTAAATACATATTTCTCCCCCACAGGAGTCCCATGAGGAGATTTGTTTAATGCCTCGTTCTCCAGAAGCTCAGCATGGTTAAGAAACCCATAGGGCCATAAGTGGTAGTGTGGGGATTTGAACTGAGGTGCTCTGGAATTGTACAGGGCGCAGACACCTTTAAGACCAGGGTGGGGCCACCGTAGCTGCTCATAGATACCCCCATTTCTGCCTTGAGCAGTTTCTTGTCCTGTCTTCTGAAACTTGCTGCCCTCAGGAGCAAGAAGGTGGCCCCCCAGGCTGTGGCCTGCCCCTCAGCAGCATGATAAGGCTCGGGGAACCCACTGCTAATTGTCAGGTAACCTTTGAAATTCTCCTTCACGGTGGGTTCTCTTTTCGGATGTATTTCAAGGTAATTCATTCCCTTTCCAGAAATTGCCAGTGGCAGAGCATTAGGCAGCTGGTAATTAATCATAAGAGTGGCTTCCAGTTTATTCTTTAAAAAAAAAAAATGAGGAACAGAAAGCCTTAGTGGAAAAAGAAAAGAAATGAAAACCACTCCAAGGCGAGGGTGGTAATCAATACCTTGGTGTCCTAGAAACTGTCTGGGGGTGGGGATGGTGGACGTGCGGCCTTCTTCTTTCTTCCCAAGGCTGGCAGACTCTCAGTGCCTGCAGTGGCAGCAGGAGGCTGTACTCTCCTGGCACAGCCTCACTAGCTCCCTGTGTGACACTGAAAAGTTGCTGCCACTCTGGCCTCAGCTTTGCCACCTGTACAATGGGTGAAGGGCAGGTGCCCGATTAGAAACAGATATTAAAGGAATACTTGTTCATTATCACATTTAGTGCCTGCACATGGTAGTTGCCCCACAGATATTTTATTAATTGAGTGAGTGAGGGACTGCATGCTCATCTTGGGTTCTAGTTAGCTGTCATCAGTGAAGGAGGTGGGCCTGGCTATAGGATGTTGTTTTTCTAGCTCAGTTATAAATTAGAGTGACAGTTGGGATGATACCCAGTGGCCTCTGGCCAGGAGAGCTTGGACTGCCTCAGTGGCAACCATCCTGTCTCCTTGAAATCCTCAAGTTCAACTTTCCAAGAGTCTGGGCTCCCTGGAGATGTTTTTTCAAAGCTGCCTCCCAGACAGGTAGTGAGTTCTTCCTCCCTAAAACATATGCAAGCTGGGGTTGGGGCTTTAGGGAGCACTTGGACAGTAGTCTAGGGGCTTAGAGGAAGATTGTCATGCAGGACCCCAGTGCTTCAGTGCCTGCTGCCCGGATCACCCTGCTACATGGGTATCAGGGCATTGAGCAAGGTTGACAGTGAGATCTGAGCTCCTTACACCAGGGTAGGTCTGGGGCTGAGACTAGGGTGGTGCAGGCTGTGTGGGTTGGGTAGGGGGACGTATGAGCATAGAGGCCCCCTATCTGGAAGTTGGGAGGCTACAGTCCTAGTCCTGATCTGCTGGTCTATCTGGTATAACATTGGTACCAGTTCCCATCCCCTTCCTGGGATTTGGGCCAGGGTCTTTCAGGAGAGGGCGGCAGATGGCCTTCCTTTCCCATATAGCCCCCTCTCCTGCCCAGTGACTCAGATGGAAGCTGGATTTCTCTCTAGGAGCTTCTCTTTCCATGGCCTTACTATAGGGCCAGTGTTCCCTGGCCAGAGGCCCCCAGGTCCCCGGCTTCAATGGTAGCCTGGGGAGGCTGTGAGCTTCTATTAGGAGGGAGGGAGGGAAGAATGATGGGCAGCTGTGTGTGAGTGTGCTTGTTCTGGCTGGGTGTGAGGCTGTGTGAATATGTATGAGCGTGCAAGGGAAGGGGAGGATCCCCCACCCCCATGTATGTCAAGACTCTCCCATGTGTGCACCGGAGGATCCCCCACCCCCATGTATGTCAAGACTTTCCCATGTGTGCACCTAGGTCAGCACTCAAACTGGCTTGGGAGACCCTGCTGACCATGGCAGAGCTGACTGAGGGAGAGCATAGGTTGTGGAAGTGGGTTCCTGAGGGACCCCAGAGAGCCAGGCCCCACTTCTGCCACTGGAGGCCCTAACATCTTCCCATGGCCAGGGGGCGACTTGACTCTGGAGGCCGTGCATCTCGCTTCAGACTCACATACCTAAGTTTCCGGCCTGAAGGCTCTGGGTGGCCCCAGTTGGTGGGCCAGTCTGCTAGAAGAGTCCTCTGAGCAGCCAAGTCCAACTTGGCACTAATCTTTTCTTTACTGCTTCTTGCCTTGGCCTCCAAGCTCCAGCCCGGCTCTGTGTGAGTCTGGGCTCTCTGGGCAGGGGAGGAGGGCAGTGGCTCTCTCCCTCCACATGTCTCCATCTCTCTGCCTCTCCTCGTGACTTTCTTTGTCCGTGTCTCTCTGCTCTTTCCTGCCCAGCTCCTCTCTTTGCACACCTCCCAGCTGCCTCCTCTGCAAAGCAGTCTCCCTCTCCCTACAGTGTCTCCCTGAGCCCTGGGACCTCCTCACTGCCATCTTCTTGCCCCTCAGAGTGCTCCTTGCCAGGTATCTCCATAGCATGTCTGTGCTGTGTCATCTCCAGGGCTCCCAGTACTGAGACTTCCCGAGCTCCCCACTTGCCAGCTTTACCTTATTTATGCAGCTCTGGCCAATACACCGTTCCTTTCTGCCCTGAGCTTTGGAGGGTCCGGGGCAGCACCCCGCACTCTCAGACACTTGGAGGCTGTACTCCATGTGTGGCCAGGTGGTGGGGGCAGGCACTCTCCCCTCCCTGTGGCCCTGCCATGCCAACCACCTCTTGGCTCCATGAGGATAGACCGAGAGCCCCCCACTTTGGCTACCCTCTGCCATCCTGGGCACAAGGGCCCCTGAGGCAGGCAAATGAGAGTGGGCCAGTACCCACCAACAGGGGTGGTTGGAAACCTGGCATTTCCTTCCAGCATTAATGAAATTCCTGCTATAATTAGAAGTGAGGTGTGTGGGGGCTGGCTGCCTGGCAGGAGCGTTTGTATGCTCATGAATAAGTAAATTGTCCTCTCCAGAGCAGGGAGGGCTGGATGGTGGGCTCCTGGAGAGGTGTGGGCCTGGAGAGTCTCAGTGGCCTGTGAGGTGGGCCCGAGGCCCTGCCCCTCACCTGGACATGCTCAGGGAGCTCCCTCAGTCCCAGCCCTGGTCAGCCAGTCTTCCTGGAAGTGCCCGCTGTGGGCCCAGCCGGCTCAGCCTGGCATCTGAAGCCACCGCCATCTGGCCCCAACCTCTTTTCACAGCCACATCACTCTCTGGCCTCTGCCAGTGCCCTGGGCTGCAGCTACACCATGTCACCCCCGCCCTGGGTCTTTAGTACCTTCCTCTCTGCACCACAGCCCCGCGGCTCCTCCTGCCTGGCACCTCCCAGTGGCTGCTGGCTTGATCCTTCCAAAAGCCTCCTCAAGCCTGTGTCATGGCCTCTGCTTCCCCAAGGCCTGAGCACCTCCCTGAACACCTCTCCTGAACAGTAGACCCTTCTCATGATACCCTTTGTGCCCTTGAATGCACGTGTCATACTACCCGCCAGCTCCTGTTCAGTTTTTATTGATTACATATTGGGATGGTTATATAATAGATATACAGAGCAGAAATTTTACATTGTTTTTTCATATGAAGTCTTTGGAGTCTGGTGTGTGTGGGTCGCGCCTCTGCTGTTCAGCAGCCACCTGGCTTCTAGCTGGCATTTACACAGTGCAGCTTTAGAGAGTCCAATTTCCTCAC